CGAGCGCGCACATTTCGTTCCACTCTCACTCCCAATCCCCTCTTGGCGCGAGGGGTGGCGGTTTAGAGGAGAGGAGACGGAGACACGGGCGTGTTTGCGGAAAACCTCAAATCAGGGATACGCGCTACGACCGACGACCCTCCGCAAATCCGCAGGATCAATCGATCCTCAATTCTTGCACGCGTCTGCCGAGGATTGTCTCTGCCGGGAAATCAAGGTGGCTTTGTTTCGCCGCCTCGAGGATCGATCTCTCTTCTCGCTTCCCTTCGCGCCGGCAAACTGCGCCCGTTCCGGATAAATTGCGAGCGTATAAATGCTCCATTCCGACGAGAGAGGAGAGAATTCATTGTTTGCGCGGGCGTTTGGCTTTCATTCGCGCGAGCGCGTCCCCGGCGTCATCATCTCTCGAGAACGCGATTGCGGACGCGCGGAGGGGAAATCAATTAGCAGGGAATGCGAGGATTATTCCGATCGACTCGCTTTTGTCGAGAAGGTTTATACGATTATCCGGAATTTATCTCGAGGAGGGGGAGGAGAAACAAATAACGTTATACACAGCCGGATGAGATGATTGAGGTTTTCGAGAGCGGTTTACAAATGCGGCGAGGTACTTTTTGACAGTAAAGAGAAAAATCAACGAGCGCGTTTCGGTTTATTCTTCTTCTTCTTTTTTTTTTTTTTTTTCTAAATAATTTTGCATTTTTTTCAATTTCTCTTCCTTTCGTCTTGTTCAGCTTTTGACTGCATATGTTCTCTCTTCGCTTTTTGTTGGTAAACGTTTGTCATTTCGAATGGACATAATTTCCGCGCTTCCCGAAAAGCCGTCCCTCGAGAGATACCCAAAATAATACGCGCCGTGTATATATACACAATCTCGGAACGCCTATGTTCGAGCAAGAAATTTCCCAGCAGCAGCAGCAGCAGCTGGAGTGTTTCTCGTTACGGAGATAATCTCTCTCTCTCCGCGTGCACAAATGGATCACCAAGAGATGAAGAGAAAGAGATATAGAAAGAGAGAGAGAGAGAGAGAGAGAGATGGAAGAGAAAGAGAAATGTGTTTGTTTGCTCTGGTTGATGTACCGAGTTCATCCTCGAGTGGCCGAGCGACTTCGTGTGGAGATAGAAACAAGGAAATAGAAGCCGAATAGGTTTCGCGAATGCGAATTTGTTCGCGGAACTCTTGTGTCGGGCGCCGTCGTCGCTTATAAATAGCCGCCCGCCGCGCGTTGGAGAGGAACGCGCGTCGAGAGGATGAATCCGTAGGACTGAAGTGGCGAGAGAACGCGGCGGAAAACGCAGAAAGGGAGGGAAAAACACGAACCGATCTATTTCCGATGAGTGCGCGTGATTTCCACGCGATTTCGCGAATTTTCAACTTGCGCGCATCAAACGAACGTTACACCGTTACAAACCTTCTGTCGCCCTCGAGAAAAGGCTATCTTTTAAAATTGCTTCATAGTTAATTTTGTTTTCTTCGATTTCTAGTAAACTCCTTGCGCCATTGTTGTTTCACATTGTTTTGTGAAAGATGCGCGTAACCGTTACTCAGTACGGGACGAAACGACGATGAAAATTCGTTTACTTAAAACGAAGTTTACCAACAACTCCCCGGCGGACGTGATTCCATTATCCTCCGCGTAATAGAAGAGTTTAATGAACGTTTACAAAAAATATCGATCACCGGGCAGGCTTCTTACATAATCGTGTTTCGGTGTTGCGCTCGCTCGACAAAATAATCGCGCTTACTTTAAAGCCTTCCGCCCTTGCATTAGTGCGTTTTTTTTTTCGGCTATTTCTACTTTGTTTTATTTGATTATTTCGTTCAATAATGATCGTGTACGCGCGCGCCGGAGTTTCAAACATTTTCCGGCGCATTAAACAAAATCCCTTTCTATAAACAAAATCGTTTTTCTCGAGAAAAGAAAGATACGACGTTTGCACGCGGCTCAACGAAACGAGCGCAGTAATAAAAAAAAAAAAAAAAAAAAAACTAACTTTTTTAGACGTTTTTTTCATATTCCGCGCCGGCGAAATCCCCGACGGGAGAAAGAAAGAAAAAAAGGGAGAGAGAGAGGAAGGGTATGTATGTACCGTCTTGCGTATCTCGCTCTCTGAAATAATCTCAAGCTACGACGGAAAAAGGTATTGTTCGCGTTCGGGGATTAAAGAATGATCGTATCGGAATTAGGCGCGTCGCGCGACGCGCGGACTGAAAATAAACCGGGAATGCGAAATCGAATTTCAATCGCGGTCGTTCGATTCCCGTTTGCCGCGTCGGTGCTTTCACAGAAACACTTGACGGCCGTGCGTGACGCGCGCGCGATCCCATCGTTCTTCTTTCTATGTGTTTTTTTTTTTTGTCGGTTTTTTGTTGTTTGTTTTTTTTCTTTCGGTTTGTCACGGCGTCATTGACTCCGCTCGTAGCTTCCGGAAAATGTGTTCCACACACGTACAAGTACACACACACACACACACACACAAACACGAGTACACTTATATACATTTACACACACATATACACACAAATATATATATATATATATATATATGTACAAACGTATATATATAAAAATTATATATAGATAGATAAAACATTTACATATACGTTTAAGGATATGTATTAGTTTAGTGCCTACTATGTTCGTATTTATGAGGAGGATAAAACTCGTATAACACTCGTTCTTTCCTGTGCGAAACATTCAACATTGTAAATATAACGGAATAACGACGTAAAAAAAAAAAAAAAAAAAAAAAATATATGTGAGTGTCTAAGGAGAAAAAGAATGAACGAATCCGCGCCAGCGGAGAAGCCACCTTCAAATTGTCCTTTTTTTTTTTGTCAAAAATTATTCGCGAGTTTAAAAACAAACAGATGTAAGAAACAAAATCACATGAAACGAGAGAGAAGAAAAGGATTTTTCGAACGCGCCCCTCGACATTTCGAGGCTCATTCGGTCACTGAAAAATTCTGTTGTTGTACATTGCGTCTGTCTGCAATTTGAGATGGTTTCTTTTTCGGCGGTCTTGTTTCTTATTTTGTCGCTTATCATCACAACATCTCATTCTTTACTTTTCTCATTTGTAACATACATATAAATAACCACGAGAGAGAGAGAGAGAGAGAGAAGCGACGCGCGTGCCACCGAAATACGGTAAATATTCTCCCAAGGTACAAAAGCAAGTGTGGCCGCTAACTAACGTAGTTGAGAGCTGAGTCGAGAGGAGAGACTGGCAGAGAGCGTGAGATCGAGGGAAAGGAGCGAGAGAGAAAAAAATATAAGAAAGAGAGAAAGGATGATCGAGTGACAGAGGGTGAGCGACTGCGATACGTAGAACTTTAAAAATTGCGAGGCACTCACAGTGGAGGGGCTTTTTGTGTGGAGGTAGCACTTTTAGATTAGTGACGCGTAGAGACTAACATCGGGTGTTGGGAGGTAGTGAATGAGCTTTTTCTTTTTCCCACTCCTCTCTCTCCTTCCTTGAGCTTTTTAGCACAGCTCGTGTTGTGGTGTTACGAGACGCGGCTCTCTTTTATCGCTTTTGCGCTCTGCAGTGCGCTAATTATCTCGATTCATTAACCGGCGTATACAACACGTTACACACGACCACTACACATGTATACAAAGCACGCCACACACACACACACACACACGCACACACATACACACACACATACAGTGTATGATTCCTTAACCGATCATTATTACTTGTATGTCTTGCAGTTATTGCCTTCTGGTTTTTGGTTTCCTTTTGATTGAAAGACGGATTTTTGCCGCATTCTCTTCCCACACAACCCGCCCCCGCCGAGATCTTGTTTCTTTTTTTCAGGAAACTAAAATATCATTGTTCGCGGAACGTGTTTGGTGATGCGATATCGTGAACGTGACACTGGAGAATTAATTATCTTAATTACATGTGATAGCAACGGATTCTCTACATCTCTCACCGTATATTTCACGTTAAATTTGCATTTATCTCTTCAGTATAATGTATTATGTAAATATAATTACGTTAATACATTACGTTAATAATATAAATTGCACATTAATACGTTAATAATACATAAACAAACACAGAAAAGAGATGAAATACTTGAATGTTACATTACAATGCTTAACAGCTTATGTTGATGTGCAAAAATAAATCAATTTTACTCCTCAAGTTATTCGTTATGTGCTTTTTGTTTAAAAATCATGTTTATATTTTTCAACTTAAAGCGAGTCTTCCAAAACTAATCGCATGATCTGTTACAGAAAACTTTTTTGGCCATTGTGAGAGAATCGAATGATCATTATTTTATACTAATAAATTCAATAGTTTCTATTCAGGCAGACCTAATAATTGTAAAAGTAAACAAATGGGGGCCAATGGAAGCGCGAACACGGGTGACTATATGTTGCAAATCCTGTGTAATGATGTAACAAACGTTTCGACTATTGCACACGATCTTTATCAATGTTAAAAATTAATTTACAGATGTCAAAATTTGAACGTTGAACAGTCTCGAGACATACAATAGTCAAAGTCAATTGATGAACGTATTAAACAATCAAAATAAAAAATCTTGAACGCTACGTGTAATTTTTAAAATGTGCAAAATCATAATAGCACTATTGTTACATCATCGCACATAATAAAGAATTTGCAATACATAGTCAACCGTGTTTGTACTCGCATGGACCTATCTTGTTACTTCAATTTGAAATTTTGAAGCTACTGCAATTTATTTAGATTAACAATTGTATTATTTAAAAAAAAAAAAAACATACCAGTACGTTTTCCAAAATATTTATAATTTTATTTCGCTTTCTTTTGCAACTTCCGCTTCACACAATACGAATCACCATGTACCCCTGTCGAATGCAACAATCGTTAACCATCACCAAACATCGTTCGGTATCGCTTTTGCACTAACGGATTGCGATAAATATATTATATATTGCGAAACATGCAACAAACAAGACAAGTTTAAGAACAACGTGTTTTTGTCGTCTTTCAAGGTGTAGATACCAGTGTGCTGCAGCATCAAGGCTCGTTGATGTCGAGCGTAACCATAATCGGCATTGTTCTCGCGATGACATTCATCGTCCTTATCATCATCGACATCACCTGCTGCTGCATGCGCAAGACAGGTGAGTCGGCGTTAAATCATTCGCTTGAATAGACAATTGATAAATTATTCTCTCCTCCCTTCGGCGTTGTATACAGTGAACATGTCTGCAATCTACGTTCGCATTTGCTGTTAATTGAAATCATTTCGTATCAGCCACTTGTCGATTATATTATGACTCAATTATGAAGCTATGAATTTGATACATGTATCACTCGGCTGTGATTAATGTTGCTTGATTTCGATGAAATGTCGTTTTGAATTCAATCGTGAAAACATTTGATATATGTCGAGAGACGAAGTTAATTTTGCGAATTGCGATTTGAAAAATACACAAAAAATAAACTTTTCCAAAACGAAACAAATTAAAATATTTTTACGCAAATTTGTTATTGTGCAATCTTCAAACGTAATTTACTGTAACAATAATATTGTTAACTTTTTAAATATTTGTTTGTTCTTTAATTTAAAACGCAACGCTTGTCACGTTACAGGAATCATTTATTACGCATACGAGCGATCTCGGCGGAAGCCGGTTGACGAAGAAGATTCCAAGCTCGGCAGGTGAGTCTCACAAGTCCTGAATATTCAGAACTTGAAGGCAATGGCATTAAAACGATATGTGTATTTTTACGAGATATTATTTTTTTTCGTACTTCTACAGTCTACGCATCTCGTTTCATACTACATATGTTACTTTACATTGTGCTTTGGCAAGTCTAGCGCTACTTTATCATGTTATCGAACTTTGCACCCGTCGTCGAACTTTCGTTCTCACGTTTCGAAAACGTTTCTTTCTTACGCCACTCGCTCGACCGTTTGAGTTCGCGTTACTTACTTCCGCGCTGATAATTTCGATGTGATTTACACTCGAGTTAAATTCATCGGAACTTCTCGCGCTCGGTTTTCGTTCCCGGTATTGCTGCGCAATTCTTGAAGCGAACGTTGCAATTCCCCGCTCGCGTATCTTCGCGCGTACAGTTGCGCGATAAAAAAGAGAGAAACAGAAAGATGCGATGATGGCGGTAGAATGCGATGACGGTGGTGGAGACGCGATACTGAAAACATTATAGAGAGTAGCCCGCCGCTAGACAGAGAGACACAAATTTGATTCCTCTCTCGTATTTTTCTCTTTTTTTTTCTTTTACCGGTAGTCTTTACGGTTGGCGGTTTCCATTGCCGTATTGCGACCAAAAAATGGCCAATGTCGCCGGGGTCACGGCCATCCAAGAGTCGGGAAAAAATACCATTAGATTGGTCAAACACACTGCCATGTAAGAGAGAAAACGACGTATAAGCGAAATCAGTAAGAAGCATGGCTCCTCACGAAGGGGCTCCTTCGACACGGCTTTCCACTTTGCATGACGTTTTTTTTTTTTCTCCACTCCTTCTTTTCGATGCTCTCTTTCAGTCTCTTTTCCCTCTCCTTCTCTCACTGTCTCCCGTTCTTACTCTTCTTTCCCTCTTTCTGCCTGACTTCCCGGAAGAGACGCCGATATCTATCGCTGAATTTTCAGTTTGGGGATGCGTCGTCTCGTAAGGGAAGTCCCGATGCGCATCAAAGAGAACGCGATCAGCATGAGAAAAACAACATGTTCGATCCGTTGGACGCATTTACTATGCCGCCAACCACTCTCTACTGCAACACGTTGATTTTCTTGTTTTTTTTTTGTTTTTTTTTTTTTTTGTTTCACTCTTGCGTTGCGCCGGACTGCGTGCTCATTCGTGACGGCTACACGGCCGGCAGAATTCGTGGCAGTTCCCTTTTTTTTTTTTTTTTTCCAACATTCACGGGACGAGCGGGTCGGAAATAGCTTCGACCAGCAACCAAACCGCACGATGTATAATAGACCATGTTTTGTTTATCACGTTTTCGAGTGAAATGTAGAAACACACATGCAGCCTATATACACGAATAGAGAACATACAACGAAAGAGTTTTTGTTTTTTTGTCAATTAAAACAAAACACAACACTTCGAGTTAGTTTGTTGTACGGAATTATTTGTGTAAACGCGGTATTTTACGATACAGAGAGAATTCATCGAGAGACTTTGTCCGAAAGTCGACTTTGGGTGAACACGCAGTCTTAAATACCGTCGCGTACGCGCGACCCGTCGCCGGTATTTCGCCTGAGCTTTGGCCATGTCGCATGCACGGTACACTTGAAATTACGCTCACTTCATTCTTTTATTCTCTCTCTGGTTTTGTTAACGCACGATGCTGCAACAAATACGCAAATCTGTTCTCGAGCTGCCAGTTTTTGTGCTTTATGAAGCGCAAACAGCAGCGCGAGTGAGCACACGTGTCACCTTAATGACTCGAGCGTAGCCCCCGAGCGGAAGCGTGGTACAGTTGGAAAGAGAAACGTTTTTTTTTTTTTTTTTTTTTACACACATATATCAAGCATCGTGTGACATAAATAAGAAAGAAAAAAGTAGAGAAGTAATAGAAAAAAATATATGTTTTGAAATAGAAAAAGACGTGCCACTGTTTCGCTCAACAATGTGCATATTTGAGACAATTTTCGAAATTTCACGAATTTTTTCCTTGATTAAGTTTCGTAATTAAAAAAAAAAACGCGAGCATTATGCACGAAGTAATAAAAAATTAATTTAAAAAAGTATAATACGAAAATTAATCCAATAATATAATTTATAATTTAAAAACGGCGCATTTGTGTAGAAAAAAATGTGTAAATGTGAAAAAATAGAGAAAAAATTTGTTTTCCCGTCGAGCATAGTTCTGCTTTATTTCCGTGTACTTCGTGCATGTACGACGGAGATACCGCGAAAACAACAACGACGAAATTGTAAGAAATCGCGGATTTCCCAGAAATTCATCAAGATTAACCTACTGCGTGGATTAGAAAAGAGGCGCATTATTTTCCCGGAGCCTCTCACTGCGTCGTTTCTTTTTACTTTGCGAGTGACAAGCATGCCTGACGTGTATATTCGATGTCGCACCACGCGCCGTATAATGGACAATGCTCTCTTACTTTTTTTGCCCGGTATTAGAAGTCTCACTCGAAAGTCACTGTTGTCCGACAAATGTTGTCTTGGCTTTTGCAGAGACGAGAAAGAGCCGCTGAGGGAGGAGAAGAAGATCACGCCGATCATCGACTCCGGTCTGCGCCGGGAGACCTCCATCACCTTCGACGGCAAGCGATCCGTCTCCAAGACCGGGTTCGTCGGCAAGGACTCGGCCGTCTAGATATTCTTCCGGCGTACTAGATTGTAAATCCATATCGGAAACACGCTGCGCAGTTTCCGGCCAAAGTGTTCTCGAAAAAAGAAGAAACAGTAACGAAAAAAAAAAACAACAAAAACAAAAACTAAAAACGCACGCAGAGCGGATTGTCGTCGTTTTACTCGCGAAGAGACTAGGATTCAGCGACCGGGCCTCGTCGGGAATTTTCCCGGACGAGAAGCCTTTTCTCGCAGCTGCTTTCTTGCCACTCGAACCAATCGAGCCTCTTTTTGAGGTTCCGCTTTTTCGTTTTGCCCTCAAAAACAAACGCGCGCGCGGTTTTCATACCCGCCCGCCTCAGCATCCCTTCGAGATCTCTCACCTCGTGTTCTGCGATACGTCGCCTGTTCCCGCATTTCCTTGTAGATTCCCCTGATAAAACGCTTCCCGCTATTGATAAACTTGTCCTTTGCCGACTACTTTGCTGCAAAGTTCTCATCGCACATCTGATTTCTTGTGTAAGGTAAGCCAGCCACATAAACAAAAAGAAGAGAAAGAAAGAAAGAGAGAGAGAGAGAGAGAGCAAACCTTGGAGACCCGACATATCTTCTTGCTGAATTTTCAGCAAGCTGAAACCCATTCTGCAAGATTTCTTTTCACGCGGAAAAAGACTGTATTGGAACCGCAAGTCGTTAAAAAAACTAATCAATATTAATAAGACATTTTTGGTTTTGGAAAACTTTTTTAAAACTTTGCAATTCGGCATAATTTTCTTATTGTCACGTTTGAAAGGTTTGTCTCGCACTTGTTAAATCCGGTCTCAAACATTTTCTTTATCTCGTCACTCACTCGCCAAAGCATGCGAAGGAGCGTAAGATGATCTATAGCTCTTGAAAAAAAATATATATTAAAAAAATCGAAAATGAAAAGTGCGAAGTGAATAAAAAATGTATTTGGAGTAGTCGTTGTTCTTAGGGGAAACTTATGAATATAATTGTAATTTATATAGCGCATGTTATACAAGGAATCGAGGAGTAGGTAGATCGCTCGCGCGAGAAGAAATAGAAGAGGAATGTACAAAAAAAAATAAAAAATAAAAACACAAGTCACGAGATTGGTGGAAATTGATCGATCGATTTAGTGATGAAATGCTTCGAGGAACTCTTTAGATTTTCACAGTCTAGTACGCTGGATAGTGTCACGCCTTTCGTCGCGCGCAGCATCTTTCACGAAAAACCGCGGGAAAAGTCGTGTTCTGTTGCGCTCGAAAAACAGACACCAGAAAAGACACACAAACACACAAACAACTATTGTCTTCGTTTCGAAGAAACATTGCACTTAAGGAATATAACAGTATAAAAGTGTGCGATATTCGCTTTCTTCAAAGAGCGATGTCACTCGTTCTATTGCGGAGATATTGTTTTAAGATATAAGCAACTAAGTTTGTATATCGTAGTGTTACGAAAATTGATCTAAACTACTAAAACTGTAGGATAAGAGATTCAAGACAGTTTCGCCAAACGTCCAAAAAAAAAAAAGAAACTTTGACGATAAATTAATTTTTATTGAATTAATTTTTGTCGTAAATTAATTTTTTTTTTCAAACAAATTGTTCATTCGTAACGTTCGTTCAAACCGAGAGATTTGTGGTTGTTGAAATCTTCAAAAGACTATTCTCCATTTTTTTAAACGTTTGAAGAATGCGCGAATATTGCTTTTTATAATCCTTGAGCGTCAACTCTTTCTTCTCTTCCAAACGAGATGCGCAATTTTGCAGCATTTTTCACACTGTACATACACCTTTGAACTACACTCTATTGTCTCTCTTTTCACATCCTTGCCTGTGTAGATTCACTGTGTGAATTTTCCGAAATGATTTTAATCGAAATTTTTCTTTTGTAATTACCAACAATAGAAAAGTGAAATTACTTCGCTCGAAATCGATTTCGAAATTGTCACATAGTGCAGCTGCAATCGAAACACGCAAGAAGTAGGTAAGTTTTCACGTCTACGATATTGTATCTTCGCGTGATTTGATTCCCAAATAATAATTCCGACTTCGTGTTCGTAATAAACTTTCGATCCGAATACTCCTATTTTTCAATTCAAAGACTGATTCTTTTATGCGCCGAAACGAATAAAATCGTAATCGATTGTTCAACCAGCTCAAGATAATTATCGAATTTCTTCTTTCATTTTGTGATGTTCGATCACATCAAACGCATGTGTATCTTGATTGAATTTGTTTATCCGCATATGTTTATTTAATACTAGAACACACGGGGCTGTTGTGTAAATTTTTCAGAAATTGATCAAAAACATTTTCGGTTTTCAATTATCTTTCTATTGTACCACAACAAAGAGAAAAGAAAACGGAAAACTTCGAAGAATCAATTCCGTAAAGAAATTACACGATAGCTAACTCTGTACTTTTGTGTCTTTTACCTTGAGTGAGAAAAAGCTCTCAATTTTATTTGTTTTTTTTAATCGTAATATATGTAACAATTTTTAACATATTGAGCTCTTGCAAACAACTACAATGTGTAAGTATATTAAGATTGAAAAAATTTTATTGAGGTAATTTGTCATCAATGAAGTCGAAACGCTATAACGCGGCAGCGCATTAAGTTGCGAGAAAGACCAATCGATCAGACTTCTTTTTGACAAATCTTGATTTGTTACCTTGACATTAAAAGTCTCTCTGAATAATATAATTATATATGTATAGTTTAATCAAACCCAACAGATGGCATTTAACTGTGAGAGGTATCGAGTCTTGCACACATGATATTGCGGGATTTTCAATCAATCTTGCACATGTTATACAGGATTTTCGATGACATCGCAGAAAGCTGCCATATGACACACTAATGTATCCACATAGAATAAAAAAAAAAAAAAGTACCATTTTTGTCTTAATATCTGAAATGGCTTGCAAAAAAAACTGCAGTTACAATGTGATAAGTTTTTGTAAATGCTTGTAAACGTTTTTCCTTAACTGTAAGAAATATTGAGAATAAATTCTAGGAGACTCTTGATAGGTATAGAAAACATGCGCAAGTACAGAAATCGTGTTCTCGCAGAAAGCTGTTGTGAGAAAGTGCGATTATCATACAAATATCACATTTTATTGTACAATATTGTGCAATAACAATCTCACGTGTATTTTTTTCAATATGTACGCTTATTGGTTATTACATTGTGTATTGTATATGTTACACATATACAATGTATACAATTTGTATTGCGTATATATTGTATGTTGTACTATTATTATCTCTTATTTATAAGTTCTAAAGTCAGAAAACCTTTATTATTTGTATATTATTATTATTATTTAACAATAATGTAAATAAGCATGCTTAAAAAATGTTTTTACTGTCAGTTTAACTTCGAATGTAAACTTTTTTATTTTTATTTTTTTCAAGAACTGGAAAGATACGTTGTTTTGACACTGAATTAAAAGATAAAAAATAACATTGGTTATAAAAAATAACATTGATTGTATGATTTACTTCTACGTAGACAATCTGTAATAAAAAAAAATCAAATCAAGAAACAGTGTCACAAAAAGTACAATTATAACGTACTTGAACTACTAACGTACTTGAACTACTAACGTACTTGAATACTTTTCGTGTTATTACTTTTGCGTTTGTTGATGTAAAGCTACTTCGTGAACACGCTTTCTATGCAAGTAGCTTTTTTACGTAAGAGAGAATTTGCCAAATACCATAGTACTTATTAGCATGTAAGTTAATGAGTACACATTAAATATAAATAAATATATATATATATATATATATTATATATACATGAGAAAAAATGATATATATGTATATGAAAAAAATAAATAAATAAATGGAGTCACAAAAGAAAATTCGCGCGACACTTGTCACGCGGCACTTCGCATCGGCGAGCGAGACGTATTAACCATTTTCTAGCACTTAGCTGTTTTGTATCCGTTGCCAAAAGCCATAATCATTAACAAAATAGCTTCCCACGAAAAGTATTACTGCGCATCTTCCAGTTTGGAGATCACTATGAGTATTATTAAAGTTCCGTAGATGTAAGGCGTATTTTTTATGTATGCTTTTTCTGTACGCGACGAGAAATCATGCTCTCGAATAAAAAGTGAAAAATGTTTTCAGAGTCAAAACAAGTGTGAAATGAAAAACACCTGAGTTCCTTGTTTGTTTTATCATTGTATTTTATTACAATAGTTACAAAATAGCATCGATAATGAGATCGAAAAACACTCGACTCGTACTTCGACGAAACAATAATATCGTGGCAGCGTGTGCGTAAAGTGGCAATCAAATACCAAAAGCACATCAGTATCACATGACGAGATTTTTGGCTAAACCATTAAAATATCTCGATAATATTTTCTAATATTATGATATTTCAATTTTTATAATATTTCCTTATATATGTATTTTGTGTGTATTTGTCTTAGCTGCGGTATTTCTATATTTATACAAGTTCGTCTTATTTTAATCATTTTTAACGTTATAAATCGATGTTAGCAGTTTTAACAGTAATATCTAATTGATAAATCACTAGGTTTCATAAAATCAAACAAATTTCTCTGTTAGTAGGAATGAGTATTTCTATACCTCAATGTCAGTATTGGAACGCTTGCCTTTTCTAATTAACATCTGTTCAACGTTCAACTGCGGCGGTTCCGTTCGTGTGTGCCACACATATACCTAAAAAAAACAAAAAATTGACAGATTCAGAGAAATTGTCGGCAAATTGCAAAATAGATCTACCTTCGTGCAACAGTCTGCTAGTGGTTCTAACTGATCTCTCGTGACTATCTGCCTAAGTATTTCGCTCTCTTGATAGCCACCCTGCACATCGTACGAGAACCAGGCGTCTTTGTGTTGAAGCAATAGTTCGAGATTAATGGCGAAGCCTGCCATGTCGAGCGGAAACGGCCGGTCCGGTTTCCAGGCCGCGTTGAAACCGATTACCTTATTAGTAACATTATCACAAATGGGCTTCTCTACCATCAGACCACCGACCAGGCCAACCGGCCACACGCCAACTCTTTGTATTTTTTCCATCTGAAAACAAATCATTACTGCATTCGTGTAAAACTTATTTAAAAATAAAAATAGCTTGCTGAACGAATAGTCTTACCTCGTGGAAGAGTTTTATGGAATAAGTATTGTCGTCGTCAGCGAAATAAACAACGCCTTTGTCAGACAGTTTGAGATTATCCCTGAGCCATTTTAATGCCGTGTTTCGTTGTTCGACACCGCGCGGTTTTTTCCAATTCGGATCGTTTCTGCCGAGTTTGTAGTTCGAGGGAGTTGTCGCATGCAGATGGGTGTAGATAAGCCCGCTGCCTTCAAGAAATCGAGTGACCAGAAGCGTCTTCTGCGGCGCATCTTCTACGACAATCCAGTGAAAGTTAGGTATGTGAAGAAATGTCTGCGCTAACCGAGTGAGCTCGGCTTTCTGCACAGGTCTAGCGAACGTGGGTGTGATCGCATAGATTACAGGCCGATTACGATCGGACCGGTTGACGAGGAAACCGTGTTCTTCCAGCCTCTTTAGCAAGCTGTACGTCAGCCCCTGCATATCCTGCAGATCCGCTATTATTGGCTCCAGCATGGATTTTATCTGCTTCCATTCTTGTTCTTGATTATCTACAAATAAAAAATCATTGAAAAGAACAAACTGTTGAAAAACATGTGCCGATATAAAACATATATGTAAATATGTTTTATATACATATATATATATATATATATATATATGTAAATATGTTAAAAGAAATTTTTCCATTTGAAAATATTGTTTAACTTCGATCAAAGTGGTATATACTTTGAGCGGAAATTTTGCAATTAAGATTAATTACGGCCGCATTGTGTAACGTAAAAACAGTAATAAACACGGAGAGCGATGATTTCATCAAAGATGACGCACGCAACGCAAATATAGTATACCATACTGCACAGCTTGAATATTTCAAGAATAGCAACGTGTATTAGGTAAATTAATTCAGTGTTTTTTCTGACAAAACTCAAACTTCATTTATGGGTTACATAATACGATATCAATTACATTTTTCGAGCAACTGTTACGGAAAAAATTTGGTTTTGGCGGTTTTGACTCGATAAAATCAAAATCAATGGAGTTTTTCACGTTTCTTCAGTTTTGAAGTGCATATCACACAGATGATGTTGGAGAGAACAGGAACAGAAATGAATCAGATAGAATCAAATCTGGAGAATATGCCGGATGTGGTAAAACAATAGAAACGAAAACTAATATTTTTTTTCTGTTTTACAACATGTCGCTTTTCTGAGATGCAAAAAGAATGCAGTGTCTGATGTGCGTTTTGTCATTAACTATCTTGAACACAACTGATTTTTGAGGTTATATCAATCATATAGTTGTATAAAAGTTTTGTAAACATAAAAATAATTCCTCTTTAAAACTATCATAAAGCGGGGAAATATTTAAACTTAAAATACAAATCAGGAGCAAATGAATGTGAAGGTACCGAATTAATTTGTACACCATAATATATGTGTGTAAACACACAATGAAATTTTATAAACATAAAACAAGACAAAATATAAACACACAAAACACATTAATGCCGGCTTCAACGCAGACATTTTTATAATATTCCGTAAAAGTATTAAAACTCATTTTATAAATCAATCTATTTTTTGCACTTAATATCTTTATATATATGATAATATATAATCTATAATACTGGTTAGTATCTTATCTCTAAAGATAATCACGCGAGATAATCACTATTTCGATATACGGTAGAAGAACTGCGCGACTCTATTACGCTCTTTTTCGCTTCGAATTGTGCGCGCCGAAATACATCGAGCACGTGTATCGATATGTTCGGTCTCGATTCTTTCGTGTTGTCACTGGTACGCGTGCACCGAAATTGGTTGCGGCACAACATTGTGCAGCATAAGCGGAAATAAACTCGAATACGCAACACTCACAGATATATATTTGGAATGCAAAAAACTCTAGCAGGACCAATAACACGAGAATTCTTTTACAGCGAGCCCCGCCCCACATGCTGCTTCTTGTACTAGATTCGTCCGTAAGGAACACGCTCTCTGTCATTGTTGTAGCGCCATGACACTATTCTGACTAATCTTTCGAGTCGAATAACCTGTGCCAAAGTTTATAGTTACAAAGTGCAATAGTCTTATGTAATTAATCAGACTTATCTGAGTAATAAACTTTTGTTTTAAGATTTTGTAAAAGTGCGTATCAAGTACGTTACATAATTTTTTACGAGATATTTGTGCTGCGCATTCTGATTAGCTGTTAAACAACAAAAATCATACCATAGGAAGATACGTAAGTTCATGAAATTTTAGATTCTTTACAGGCAACTACATTATCGACATCGTGTGTGTGTGTGTGTGTGCGCGCGCGCGCGCGCGTGCATGTATACACTCACCCAGCAGCACAGAAAGACCAAAAAAGCATCTTAAAGTATTTAAAAAACAAGACGTTTTTAAGGCGTTTTTTAATCGTCTTTTAAAGACATGCACTATTTGAAGCACGTGTTTAAAAAAGCTTTTTTATACTCAGATAACATGTCTCTAAAAGACGAGTTAAAAATGTCTTATTGTCTTTTAGACATTTTTAAGATGTTTTTTAAACTTTTTCTGACTGTAATGTTTTTTTATTTCTCTTCTATTTTATATATTTGATAATATCTATAATTCAATATTTATAATTTATATTTTATAAGATGTACTTAATTACGTAGTAATTAATGAAGTGAAGAATAAATAATTCTTATACAAAGAATTTTTATTTTAGAATGTTTTTAAGAGAATGCTAGAGCCTTAATATTGATCGAACGCATGATTACAGTTTCAAGGTTTTGTTCTTTGTATGTTTATTGTTCGGATCTAAAAATAATTTTGCAGAACAAAATATAATAGTGAAAAACATTTGGCCGACAAGCAAATCTATCGAAAATGTCATAATTTTTTTGAACTTATAGTTATCATTTCTGCAAAGGTGTACTTGATCTAACAAGATAGACCGAATCAGCTACATACAACAAATACTAAAGAATACAATGAGACTATCAGAGTATAAATTGGAGGTTTATAATAGAAATAAAACGCAAAATACGTAGCGTTTTTTTTTGCATATATTTTTGCATGTTTCTTTAATGACAGTCGATAATTAATATCATCTGTGTCGGTAAAACAGTACATTTATTTTATTTAATTTTATAGAGCTTGGCTGTTACTCCAGCATTCTCTTAAATGTCAATCTTAAATGTCAATCAAATATTCTATGAATCACTAATACATTATTCTTTGTGATATTATTACGCGAAATTTTTTTCTGAGTTTTAAATTTTTACCCCACTAGGGACACACACAGTATCGCAAGTGGAATTACATTGCAGCCACCCTCAGCTAGTGTCCACGTGTAAGTTCAGATGACGCCAAGGGGTGTTTTGTGAACTCGAGCAGCACGCGCGGCGCGTGTCGAGGGCGCATGCCACGGTCACGCATTCTCCCTCCCTAGGACATTCAGCAACCTGTCAGCAACGGCAGGGGAGAAATGGCAATAGTGGTAGGGAGCAGTGAAGAGAGGCTGGTTTTGGCTGGCTGGGCTGACTGGGGAAGTAGCGAGACTACGGTGCCGCGCAGCCACACCGGCCACTGCGACGGCCGCGGCGGAGCGAGCGTGTTCCTTTTCTCTTCTGTTATTCTCGCATACTTCACCTCTTGCGCGCGACACCGATGCGGCCTCGCGATGTGAGGACGCGACGATCCCTGTCAACGATTACGTACCGCGCGATCCGGCGTGACGAGCGGCAAGCTGCAATTAATTGCCAGCCGGGGTGAGTCGATAGCTCGTGTTTGACAAGGATAGAAGAGGGGAATTGTAGGGCGGAAGAGGGAGAGAGAGAAGGAGTACGAAGAACTCACGTTTGGCACTCGGAGGGTACGAACTGTCTGACAGACAGTAGCACGCCGTCTCTTACTACTGCCGTAGTTGTGACTGTGGCAGCGACGGCGGTGGTGGCAGTTGATGGTGGAAGTGGTTGTGGTTGTCCGGAGTTGCCGTTGCGTTTCTGCGTGCGACGGCGGCAAGAGGGAAGGAAAGTGGTCTTCGGGGTTACGAGGCCAGGGGAGAAAGTGGGTGTTGCCGGAACGGCAACGACGACGGAAAGATCGTCCGGTTTCTGCCGAACGTCTCTGGAAATTCGATGTTCCTCTTCCGAAAAAAGGTGGAAAAGTTACCGCGGAAGGATGCACATCAGTCGTCGATCTTGGAATCAACGTCAGCTCGTCAATGACTTCTTTTCCATCGATGATCCCGTGCCTCGTGAGTAATCGCGCCGGTTCTTCTCGCCTTCTGTTTCCTCAGTTGTCATGCATGTCACGCTTCATCCACCCTGTGTGCATCTGGACAAAGTTCAGTTCCGAAAGTAAATCATCTCAAACACCCCGTACAAACACACCCCGTAACACGATTAGCATTTCCGTGCCTTCTCAGCGTGACAACATCATTCTTGCCTAGAGGACAATGATATCGCGGCTTGATTGTTTACACTTCCTGAACACGATCATTTTGAATATCATTCTGAAACAGGTTGTATTTCCCGAGCGATATTGTCCGAGTGACAAAAAGCAACGCAGTCTCGCACCTCGCTTCGAGGAAATAGAGGTCGGATGCAAATTACGAGCTTGGACGGGTGGCGGTGGGTGCTGGGCACGGTAATTGGGGCGAGGGGACGTCGCTTCGATGGGCACACTCGGTGCGAGCGCGCGCGAGAGGTCACCGCGGGAGGAGAAGTAAGAGGGAAGAGGAGAGAAAGAGGCGGTAGTGGAATATTGCTATCTCTCGTTTCCCTCGCGATTTCTCTCCTCCCTTCCGCGATTTTCACCCCCTACCCTCGATTTCCCGTTGTCCGCAACCCAGTCCCTTTTATATCTCTCCCTCGTATTTTTTTTTTTTTTCGCTCTCCTCCTTCGCCCTCGGTAAACCGGAATCGTCGGCGCGTGAAGTTTTCTCCTCGCGAGAGTAGTACAGAGGCGAGTCCCACGCCAGCAATGAAGAAAGGGGAGTTATTGTGCACGATGTATGCACGCGCCCTTTGCTCTCTCCATGCCCTCCTTCGTGCATCCCCTTCATCATCATGTTCGCGTTACGAGTACCGTGTACACGAATACCAGGAATAATACTCGAGGCTCGTCGACCGCTCGAGAATCTCCCATCGCCTCTCTCCTCCCTATCTCTCGCATATGCACTGGCCCCGATTAGTCGCCGCTTAAGAGAGATGTTACGCTCTCTCTCTCTCTCTCTCTCTTTTTTTCTTTTGCTCTCTTTTCTCTTTATTATCGGCATCTCTGTTAATACTTTTATTCCTCTCAGTTTTAAAGAAACAAAGTCGCGCGATAACTGCATCATCATGTTCTGATGCAATGTTCGCATCTTTTATATTCAAATTGGCTCTTCTTTCTCGTCCTTATTTTCTTCTGTCATTATGCAGACGATCTATTTTATCTCTCTCTCTCTCTCTGTCTCTTCCTTTTATTTAAATACGGAAAATCTCAATTTATTTAAATTCAGTTTCTTTAATTAGTTCAATGAACTCCTCTCGAGAATGCGGTTCGATCATTGTCATATTTAACTCGTGTTTTATTATTATTCTTAAACGTTCAACTTTTCAAAAGAAATAATTACAAATCTGAATTATGAATTTTTGTTAATCGTTTCCAATTTATTACATAAATTAGAGACATCAATTTCTGACTCCTAGAAATTGTTTTATCGAAAAAGATTTAGAACAAAAAAGATTTAGAACTTTTGTCTTTTTCTCTTTCTCTCTCTCTCTCTCTTTTTTTCTCTTAATTCTTTTATACTTAGCTATTTTTACTTTTTCTTTTTTAGTATCGATATACTGTTTTAAGCTCGCCTGTTATCGAGTCTAGACTCGTCAGTAGGATGTCTAGTCTAGTAGACCAATTTTATGTGAGCCAGAAATGTATATCCTGCGGGATCGGCTTCTACGGCGTGGACGGCGCCTGGCATGATCGTTCAATAATTTAGCAAGGTTACGGCTGCTACCGACACGGTAACCGCCGTCGCGGTAAAGCTTGTAAGAAATGATCGATCATGCAATTCCGAGTGCAAGAGAAAAAGAGAGAGAGAGAGAGAGAGAGGAAGATAGAGAAAGAAGGATATAAGTATAAGATAAAGCCCTCTTTCTCGATGCTTTACAACTGTCGCTCGTCAATCTCGTGCGTGCCGCTATCACGCTCGAGCGGATTACAGTCGAGCTATTTCTGAGTATCTGCGAAGTAGGTAGCGTGCTTATACTTGTAAAGATTTTTTTTAATGCTACGTTATAGAAATTCGCGAGGTATATTGAAAAAATTACGAAACGAAAACAGAACGGATCACAAGGGGGATTTGATGATTTCACTATTTTTTTTCTCCCACATGTATATTTTTCGAAAATAACATTTTTTCTCCGCGCTTGATTTCCAAGGAAACACGTGGCGAGAGTTAACAATTATTACAGAATTGCACAATACTCGCTAAAGGTCATCGGTCAAGCGGATTTACGCGGCTGATGGCAACTTAACCGATGGGGTTTGATGTACGTAGATTTTCAACAGTGTTTTCAAACGTGCATACATGTTTGTTTAGTTATGCAATGCGGTACACACACGGACCGTTAATCTAGCGTGAACTTTGCGTCGGAAGAGTTCGGTCTTCGTAAATTTTCCCGGAATGTCAGCGAATTCATCGATGCGCGTGCATCGCGAAGAGATATTCGGCGCACGTATAATATTATAATCGAGTTTTACGATAGAGTCGGGCTTAATTTAATCTTTCCTATGTGTATTTAATGGACCGTCTATGTAGGACATTTTGTTGTTAACTCTAACCAATCTCTGTGAGCAAAAATAGATAATTACATCGAAATGTCATCGGTGCAATGACACAGTTCGCGTATCTGGTTTTTGCGCGGAGACTTTAAAATTGAGGAAAAAAAATGTGCCCCTATCACAGTACAACGACAATTTAATATATTGACTATTCATTGACATTTTAATAAACCATCTAGCTGTTCAGCAATCTTTGTAGAGCTGAATGGAATCTGAAATCGACCGTTCGTTTTTGTACGTGTATATACGAGAGAGAGCGCGCGCGCGCGCGCGCACCTATTATTAAAGCGCACTTTATCAAAACCCGCTTTTATTTTGCGTTACCAACCGCAATATATTCCCGTATCACATGCAATATTCCATTATCGATTGCGCTACTGTTTGGCCAGCACAGTCGCATTTGATTAGAGGAAGTGGTCGGGAGATAAAGGGCGCGGGATCAATTTCTGGGAAAATTCCGTTCCCGCTCGACTCCCGTCGCGCAGTGCGATGACTTTCAATAGCGTAACAGTTGCATGGCCCAAAGTTCGTAGTACGCGGGTAGGCATACTCTGACATTTCTGAGGCGCACGATCGTATTCAGAAAAGGTCAACCGATATATGGAGCACACGGCATTCGAGTCGCGCACAGACAGATCGGGTGTCCCGTTGGGAACAGCAGCTCTCTCTTCCATTCTTTCTCTTCTCTCCTTCTTCTCCAGCTAGAGTGCTCCATTTCCTGTAAAAAAAAAAAATATATATATATATATATGTAATGCACGTCGCGTAAATAGAAATGCCGATAATGGTGACTTGTATAAAAACTTGACAGAAGAATATAATGTTTTTTTCAAAAAACTTTTAAATATAGAACAAAACATTCAATTCCATCTGATACCTAATTGACACTTTTAAGACTTGTCGATTTTCAAGAGTGTCAGCTAAAGATTTTTAAATAATGTTGCTATAAAAAATGCAAATCCATCCTACTGTAATGTTAAGTAAATAATAAAAAATGTTGACAATCAGAAAAGAAATCAACGAGTGCCAATCATTTTGGAGTGCTAACTATTGGATTTTTATTCTACTCATAGTATCTCGCTTGCGTTTGAAAATTCTTACCAATACATATATCCTTCTTATTCTCTGCAGAGTCGAGCAATCGCTAAAAATAAATTGGAAACACGTGTACGTTGTCCCGAGTGAATTTCATCTCCGCGAAAAACCGAATTTTCACGTACGCCAAGAGGGAGAGAACAACCGCGCTTTCTTTTCTTTATCTCGCGACAGGTATTCCGCTGGCAGTGCGGGTTCGTATTGTTGCCAAAAACATATTTCTCGGTTGCCATCCTCGTCGTCTTCTTTCCCGAAGCCACGCTCCCGTGAATTATAACTTTTCTATAGGCCGTTGTTATCTTGCTCTACTTCCGGTCTTAACAACAATCAGTCCGAGTGCTTTATTCGAACCTGAAACCTTATTCAGAAAAGAAAGAATGGCTGTGTCATTTTCAATCTTTGATCAGAATGGTCATTGAACCAACGCGCGCTCGAGAGAATATTAGAACATAAGGATATTGATATAAATATATATGTATACGTCGTGCGCTATATTCCCTAGTATTCTACATAAAACAGCCAGGTGAAGGTGGGGGAAAAGTAAGCTTGTATCTATCTTGTATTTTTATTCACATTACATCAGAGTTCTCGTAATACCAGGGATTTCGTAACCGATTGTGTTTGCATTAGGTAATCGACGTTATTATTTTATGCCGCATATAAACAACGTCGCAATAATTGATCATTACCGCATAAAAAAAAAAAAAAAAAAACACTAATGAGTTCTAAAGATTATCTGAATCGACTTGCTGCCACGACAATGAATAATAGAGATATGATTTGTTCGAAATAATATTATACCGTTCGATTAAATATTATTGTCAAGGTCGATATCTCATTTTTTTTGTGCAATTCACATCACATAGTCAAGTGAAATTGCGGAGGACGTGATAGACTGTATGAAATTTACGTGTTAATTCGGGCAATTTGAATTGGATAGTCAATAAAATCGTCTTGCGTCAGCGAATTGAGATGGTTCGCTCAAGAAGCAACTTGAAGAATAATGAGCGGCAATACGGTTAAAAGATTCTACAGACTATGTAGATATGTAGAAGATCCTTGACTTCTTACACCGCGGCGATTAGCAAATGAATTGCGCAGAAGAGTTCGTTCCGAATCGAACAATTTCGTTACGAAATGAGGTTCAGACAATGAAACGAAAGAATGGAAGAAGAGAGAGAGAGACTCGACGTTCTATTTGATCACGTCAATTTATACTCGCGTTTTCTTTCGTTCCAATCTTTGCAAGATCTCTTACAATTTATGAACTCAAGACGCGCGACACAAATTTAGAAATTGTACGGCCTTGATTATTAAACCGAATTACGAGAT